AATCGCTTGAACCAGGGAGTCAGAGGTTGCAGTGAGCTCAGATCATGCCACTGCACTCCAGGCTGGTGACAGAGTGAGATTCAGTCTCAAAAAAAAAAAAAAAAAAGTAGATATTCAAAACTATATACAACTTTTGCCTTTTATTTTGCCAATCATTGCTTCGAATAAAGATGGGAACTTTGGTTTTTGATTTTTTGGTTCATAATCTTACAGATTTTTTTTTCTTCTTTCTACTTTTCTGGTTTTTTCTGTAAACCTATAGTAAACCCCTTTAGGTTAATGCAAATCCACACACTGCAGAATTAGTATCTTTCAGAATATTCCCTCTGCTGAGGCAAGAAACACAATATTTGAAATGTCTATGTAAACTAGAAGTGTAAGAAAAAACAGCATGACAAGATTGATGGAACTAGAATACTGAGGAAAAGAGAAAGTCTGGCAAATGTAAGAGGTGTTTTACTAGTCATTCATTCTCCAAATAAGTATTGAACTCCAGCTAAATGCACTCTCTTAAGTTAGTACTTGTTCCCTCTTATTACCTGACTAATGAATTACTCATGGGTGTCAGCCTCTAATGCCATGTTCCCCAGTTACCCACAAACTGAATAAGATGTCTCTCCCATGCGTTCCTATGGCACCCCCTATGCCTTCTTGTAACTGGAGGTGAATAATGTAAGGCCCTAGGTTAAAATTTTAATCGACTCTTTACAAACAGCAGTCATTTTAAGCCTTTATGTAGCCAGGGGAAGGAGCCACTAAGAGGTACACGTCTCAGCAATAGGCTACAAGTACCTTATTCTTAAAGGCAAATTATTTGAAAATGGAGATAAAGAAATGGAACACTGCTGGACACAATGGCTCATGCCTGTAAACCCAGCACTCTGGGAGGCTGAGATAGAAGGATCACTTGAGCCCAGAAGTTTGAGACTAGGGCAACATGGTGAAACCACATCTCTACAAAAAAATACCAAAAAATTAGCTGGATGTGGTGGCTTGTGCCTGTAGTGCCAGCTATTTGGGAGGCTGAGGCGGGAGGATTGCTTGAGCCTGGGAGATTGAGGCTGCTGTGAGCCAAGATCTTACCACTGTACTCTAGCCTGGGTGACAGAGGGAGACCCTGACTCAAAAACAAAAAGCAAAACAAAACAAACAAATATGTTTAAGGGGAATTCTACCCAGTGAAATTTCTACGTGATGAGCCTTCATTCTTTAGTTCTCTACTAAAGCATTTCTCAAATTCAAGCTCTTGAAATTTCAAGAATATGTATCAGCAAGCATCACTTTGTAGAAGCCCAACTATATGTGCTGGAATCCTGTGCCTCTATTTGGTTATAAGGTGACTGTCCACAGAGGGGCAGTAAAGTGTAATAGTTTAAAATTCAGGTCTTAACTATAATCCCACTGCCTATTTCTTTATTTCTTAAAATATTATAAAAATGACATAAAATTTTAAAATTGTACAGAGAAATTGTGGACTTCCTGAAGGATTTGAAAAATTAGGCAAGCTATGTTATCCAGTTAATAATTGACACAAAAGCTCTGGTTTGCCATGGTCTATATTGTGGATAGGAAAGTACCATTTTGCCAAGCAGGATATATTTTTTAAAATATAAGCATACTTATCAATTTTTCTTTTCCTTTTTTTTTTTTTTTTGGAGACATCTCACTCTGTCTCCCAGGCTAGAGTGCAGTGGCACGATCTTGGCTCACTGCAACTTCTGCCTCCTGGGTTCAAGCAATTCTCCTGCCTTAGCCTCCCGAGTAGCTGGGATTACAGGTATGTGCTACCATGCCCAGCTAATTTTTGTATTTTTTTTTAGTAGAGACGGAGTTTCACCGTGTTAGTCAGGATGGTCTCGATCTCCTGACCTCGTGATCCGCCCATCTCGGCCTCCCAAAGTGCTGGGATTACAGGCGTGAGCCACCGCGCCCGGCCGAACTGGGTGGATTTCAACAGCAATCAGTTGATAGAACTGTGCTGACATTATCTGTTGCCCCTAACATTTAATCTCTTTCAGTGGTTTCAGAAAATAGAAGCAAGAGAAAATCCTGGTCCTTTGGTGATGTAGTTATTTGCATTCTCCAGGGGCAGAAGAAAAAAAAAGTCTTTAAAAATTTAAAAGAACATGTTGGTAATGAAGTTCTGTAGAAGGAAGGAGCTGAACTGAGGGGGTGAATGTGTGATAAATTTGTTAGCTTTTCCACCAACAGACTTTTCTTTTGAATTCCTTGTTACATTGCCATGGTCTCACTAACATTCGTGGGAAATCAGGGCGCAGTCAGAACATTTGGCAGCCTGCTGAGTATGTTCTACTCAGATATTTCCAGAACATTTGGCTACATGGTGGGTGGATTCCACCTGGCAGCTTGTATAAAATTGGCATCATGGTGGAAGGAGATGGACACAGAAACACATGACATAGTATGGGAGCCTTTCAGGCTGGCATCTTAGCAATCTGCTGTGCCCATTCTTTAATTTACAGAACGTGGCTGACATTAAGAAACTGAAATCAGTAGGAATCTGTACCATCAAAGGCATACAGATGACAACAAGAAGAGCTCTATGCAATGTCAAAGGACTCTCAGAAGCCAAAGTAGACAAGATTAAAGAGGCAGCGAACAAACTAATTGTAAGCAAAATCCATTCTTTGCTGTTTTAGCTTAGAAGGGCCTTGTGAATCTTTATAGGCTTTCTCATGAAAACTAGAAATTATTGTGGGAACTGAGTTCCTGTAGATCACAATATGTTATACTCCCAATGTTAACTTTTTATCAATTCAGTTTCAAAGCAAGAGCAATTGATTTCTGAAAGATGAAGGTAGGGATTAAGAGACCTGGAACACTAATGAAGGTAATTATTTTTGCCAAAACTTTTTTGTCTCCCTTTATATTACTTTTTCTGGCTGTCTCTGCCTTTCCTTCTCCTTTCCCTTTTTTTTTTTTTTTTTTTTTT